CCAATAAAGGCTTAATTGAAAAATCGGCGCCGGTCAGTCGATGTAGTTAGGTGTCTAGTTTAAAATAAAACAAACCCGAACTCTCCAGCTTGAAGTATATTAAAAAATCTTGGGACGCCGTTCAGGGCCTTTTTGGACCTTGATCTCTGGAAAACTCCTGAACCGTAAGATTTGGAGACAAAAAAATTTTTTCATTCCCGTAACTCATTGTGCTGGACATTTACGGAAAGTTTCGTCAAGATCGGAAGTACGGTGCCGGAGATAATTTCTGAGGGGGGGCGGCCCTTAAATAAGTATCCTATGCCTACCAAAGTCAGATCTTTGTCAAAAGTCGATAAGAATAAGTGGGAGTCAATATGTTACCATTAACAAGGATTTTTTCTATATAGTCGTTTGAACCATCTTAGCACTCTCAATCCGATTAGAACCACTTGGTACAGGTTTTGGTTAACTGGGAAACAGCTTTTATGTATTTTGGGGCGTCACTAATGCAAAAGACTTAATCTTATGTCAGCTTATCTTTTACTTGCGAATAATTTCAATCAATAAATTGAATTAGCGAGTGAGTTCATTGAACAATGGTGGGTGCACACATAGTCTGTCCAGTCATACCTTCTAGAGTGTAAGACTTGCGTGTATGTAACCTAGCATTGTTTTCCACAAACTATTCTAGTTGTGGAGGAAAGCAGTAAATGAAAAGAAAATTCTTCATAAATAACTGAGCACTTAATCTATCGAGACATTCATTATCAATCATCTTATAAGGTAATTAAACATGCAAACAGATCAAACCACTATGATGGATATCCACCAATATTTAATAACATTTTGTTCACTGCAAATGCTTACAGTGTCTACACGCAAATCTACTGTAACTAGTCATTTAAGTCTTAGTATAATCTACCTGTAACGTATCATTTGACTCAGTACGGATACGATATAGATTTATCCTCTATCTACTCATGTCGACTTTAGTCATAAACCAGCAGCTGGTTACGATTTTTGTTCAAGTATCTAGGGCGGTCAAACGTGCATAATGAGCATCACTATGTATACGAAGAGATGCAGTTATGAAGTCATCTTCTTATTCTTATTAGTTAGTGGATTAATTAAGTGTCCTGGGGCAACCAAAATTCAGTGGCAGAACATGTGACATGCAATCATAAGGTCATGACTTCCATTCACGATTGAGACGTATTTTTCTTCAATTTAAATTCATGTCACATTCAAACTTCGTTTGTAATATTCTGTCAGAAACTGTTTTTTTCCGATTTTTGCTAACATTTTTTGAAGAATCTATGTTGAGAGAAGATATAATCAATTGTTAAAAGAAGATCGATGACCAATATCTTGCTAAATATGACGTCAGAACAGTATTATAAAAATATTCGCTATTTGTGACGAAACTAATTTTTTCCAAACCGATTTTAATACACATGTAAGTTGACCGTAGTGTACAATACATTACAAGCTGTTCATATGCGTTGAAGTGAAATAAGTCTTTTGTTTGCTTCTGTACTATTATCATTATTTATCACGAAGTGTTTAATGGTGAAGCCTAATGATAATCATGTGAAATGTGAATTATCTTCGTATTATACAGGCTGTATTTTGTATAAATCCCAAATATCGTCGAGAAGATCACCTGTCGTTACAATATCGGTATTAATTTTTAATAATCTTAATAGAACAATGCCATCTGTTTTCAAATAGTGTTCATTGAAATTTTTTATCAATAGTTTTTCATTCATCTTCTCATCTAAACCATGATTATTATTACTGCTCATTAACGATGTTGATGTGAATTCAGTTGTTAATTTTTTGAATTTATTTGCTTTCTTTTTCTTTTGAAACATCAAATAATCGTTGATAAAATCATATTTGTTAATCAAATAGAATGACCATTGAAACATCAAATTATAGATGGAAAACAACATCATCATTATTAACCATAAATAGGAGAATGTAAATATTTTTTCATTAAAGACATTCACAGGTAACACACACTGCACAGTGTGACGATGAGTATTTTTACCAAGAAATCGAACAATAAAATCACATAGGACATTGGTAGGAAATTGAAGTGAATCATGGCGATAATTAGTACTATGAATGAACAATTGTTGAGAGAGAGACGATAATGATAGACGAAATTTCATTAGATAATGTAATGTAAACAATTGAAGAAGAATATTAGATAAATAAATAAGTTTTATAGATAAATATAAAACTGTTAATTTGGGTAATCGTAATAAAAATACTTTTTTTATCTGTGTTTTTTCATGTTTTAAACGAAAACATTGATCAAGACGAATAGCAACATTATGTACAAATTGACGACGAAAATTTGGTGATTCAATTAATAGTGTACGACTTAAATTTAAACTATCAATATAATTTTGAATTGAAAAACCAATTTTTTTTGATAATGATCGCCACAAAAATCCCGGAAAGAAAAAACCAAATGCTTGTAACATGAGTAAGAATGGAATATATTGATAGAATACAATGGAATGTTCACGTTGTTCATCTGGTAAGGGTATTTCAGATTCAGTCGATACATAATACGTACTTGAAATCCAACAAATAAAATCAGCATAGGTTATATGAGAATCGGTGAATGATGCTGGTGTCCAACATGAAATAGGTTTACCAACAAATTGTACCTACATTAAACAATTTACACACTTAATAATGATAAAAATGTTTGATTCTAGCTCGAAAAAGTTAGTATTTTTATGATTTTTATTAGAAACTTTTGTTTTGTTCAATATATAAAAGAAAGTTTAGTTAGCCGGCACAGTGTACATTGAGGCAGACATTTGATCGAATATTGAACGTGCACCTTTTCTGGATTGAAATAGCGGAAAATATACTCTGAGAAAACTATTGTCGTAGGAAGTTTTGTTTCAGCTGTTTTGAATCATGGGGAAATAGTTACGAGAGAACCTTCCCAGGTGTCAAACTCCGTTTTCAACGATCTTACGCCAGTTGATAGAGGAAAGTGTTCTAGTTAAAATCCTAAAAGGATTTGTACTAATGGTACTTCTTTCAAGAGACTTTTTTTTGTTTCGTTGGGAAAACAAGTACAAAAAAGATCGGCCAACAACCATTACAATGATGGAATAACTGTTATTCATATAGAGAATCAATTACAGCATCGAGCTTGGCCGTTAGGAAACATTAACAGGACCACATATGATTAACTATAACAAAAGAAAAATGAATTATTGGGAAAACATGGTTTTCTTTTAAAAACAAGCAAAATTCAATAGATTATTTTCTAGAGAGGCTGAAATGCTGATTCTTTCTATGATGTTAATCGAGCATTAGAACAATCATAGAAAAAAATGCCAGCTCAAAATTCACTGTTTTTATCCAGGTACAAAATTTTTAGTTTTTCTGTACCAGTTTTCCCAGCGAAACAAAAAAAGTCATAACTCTTGAAAGAAGTACCATGGGCACAAATCCATTTGGAGTTTTAACTAGAACACTTTCCTCTATCAACTGGCATTGAAAACGGAGTTTAACAACTGGGAAGATTCCCTTGTTAGCTGAAAATTAGCGTATAAACATAGTACTACACCGATGAAAAGATTTTCTGTTCTGCTCCACTAAGTTATAAGTGGAAATAATTGAAATTATGAATCTGATCTCCTCTGGAGTGAAAGCATTTCCCAGTCTGGGCCCAGAACTCAGAAGAAAATTATTTTTAAAGCTAACTCAGCGTCTGTAGATATGTGATCAGTGTAATGAGTTTCTTAAATTTTTCTAAACTTTAGTTCGATCCTAAAATCTACTAAAATGCTTGTTTATATATACTGCATCTATGGTGAATGCGATATTGTTCTTGGATCTCAGTGTGGGGTGTCCAAGACCCAGTAACGCATTTACGATCGATACAAAATAGAAAATTTTGATTTTTCGCTAGCAAAACAGTTTAAAATTATATTTTTAGTGTTCCGCATCCATAGAAATTCTTTTTCTTTGTACCGAACCTAAAAAAGAAAGATTTCCTAGATCCACCACCGCCCAAAACTTCTGATTTCCCCCAATAAAATCTGTTCTTTTTGGCTCAGGAATGTTTCCAATAAAAGTAAGGTAATATTTGGAATTAGCGCACAAAATTGCATTGAATAATACAATTGTCAAACATTATCTGAGATTTCAGTCAACAAATTCAAAAGCATCTTCACACATTTTTTTATCAGCAATCGGAAAGTTTTTCTTGCAAGAATGCTATTTTCAGTTATAGAGAGTTATTCTAAGTTATTCTAATCCATTATTTCTAATGAAGAAAAAACTTGATATTCGCCTGTCTAGTGAGAAATGCCTACTGTTGCTGGATATGCAGTCTTGCATATGCGTGTTGATTGGTTATATTACTCAACGTTTCATTATAGTCCGTACCGATGAGACAACGATAACAAACATTGAAAATATTAATACACTATAGTGGCGAGACAAACGATCGACAAAATCATCATCATTTCGTCCAAAACCACAATAATAACGAACTAACGCGTAGGCATCAAACCTAGAAAGAACGAATCGAACATCCATAATATTTTTAATAGTTTAGATTGATACATTTGATTGAGCTATTGTTCAATCAAGATGTTTTATATTACTTATCATTTCGAACAAGTGTTTGAACTCACCTGAGATAGCTACGGTATTTTTTTAAATATTTAGCCATCTACTTTTAAATATTTAATATTTAATTTGTGATACAATCAATACTCATTGTTTAATTTTTCTTTCTATTTTTCTATTCTAATAAAACATCTTTACTAAATACACTCGCTACGAATAAAAATCCTTTTTTTCTTATTTATCTCTTATCAAATCAAAAATATTTTTTACATTCATCAGAGAACACTAAAATGAACTTTTTTTCTTCATTAAACTACAACTTGTCTTGTGTGTGTTACAAATAAATCAACTTAATTTGACATAATAAAAACGAAGAAGAAAATCTCATTCAATAATTTTCTAACTAAAACTGACAATGACACCTATAGAGAAGAGAATAAAGCTAAATCAAATGGAAAAAAAAATTATTTCAAATTAATTTTGAAATATCACACGCATATTTAGTTTCTCTTTTTTTTTTCTTTTCAGAAACGGATGAGAGATAGAGAAAAGTATGTGAACAAAATAGATTTACATCAACGACAAACGTTTTTTCAACTTCTCATTGTTTCCCATGTTGACAATCACTTTTCTTTACGATTGTCAAAGAAATCTTAAGGGGATGAATCAGATTACGATAAAGACACTAGTGAATGACAATAAAAGAATAAAAAGACGACGGATGTTCACTATCTCTATATTGTTCAATTCAACTTAAGGCATTCTTCGACATGTTAATATTTAAATCGAGTAAAAATATTTAGCGGAAAGTCTGGTAAAGTTTAACTGAAAGGAGAAAAAGAAAGATCAGGTGGGAAAAAGAAGTTTTTTCTCAAGATTGACAGCGATATATTTATAATCACATATTTCTGTTGTAATTATGAACATCGCATAACCATTTATAGTTGTACATTAAATAATAGATGGAAAGGTACGAGTAGACATTGTTTGAGTCAGAAATATTAGATTAACGTCAACAGTGGAATTCTTCTATTGTCAAAGTCACATCTCACTTATCTTACAATAGACATTTATCCATTTTAAATTCGTCTTTTTTTTTTTCTTCATTATATCAAGTGATGCATTTTAACAAAAAGAAACCTAGAATACAGACAATAAAAACTGTATAACATAAATATATGTTTGGTTTGTTTACTATATTTGTGCATGTGCATCATTTTTCTACTGTCGTTTTTCTAACTTCTAATTTTGTTTTAGTAGTGGTTAATTTCAAAGATTCTATAGATAGAAATGACATAATTTAGAGATAAATGACATAAATAGAGAGATAAATACATTTAATAGTAGATATTATTAACTAACTAGCATAAGATGACTATGTGACACGAATTTCTTCTTTCAACGATTGAAATGCACGCACTTACATACATGAGAATTTTTTCTTAAACATGCTTCTCTAATATTTTTCATATGATAACGGCATTATTTTCGTTAGCTATATTAGTAAATGTAATACATGCCAGTTGATGATATTGCAGCTTGCCGACGTCCTTCTTTCCTCACTTTTCCTCCTAAATTAAATTTTCTTCTCTTTTTGATATAAGCTTTATTCTTTCAGAATACACACTCAGAATACAGAATAGGTGTATTCTGAAAGAATAAAGCTTATATCAAAAAGAGGAGAAAATTTAATTTAGGAGTAAAAGTGAGGAAAGGAGGACGAGTACGATGCAAATATTGCAGTGTACTAACTGATAATTTTCATGTACAAGAACCGTTCACTTTTTGCAATTACTCTAACCTATTGTTTATCTAAATACCATCATAATTGTTTTCCCTATTTTTGATCACTTGAAATATAACTAATTTGTAATGATATTAAAGGACCACTATAAAATGAAATATATAAGTTTTTGATACGTAATTCTTAACATAAACCAATTTTGTCAACCATTTCATCCAATATTATTACAAAATTCGATTACGGTTTACGTTCCGTTACAAGGTCTACAAATACTCATGTTTTAATTCATTTATTGCTTACGGGTATTAAATTAAAACATTCAGTCTTGCAAATGTAATAAACTTTTTCTTTTGTATTTCTGATCTACCGCGACATACTGCAAGATAATAAAAGCATATTTATTTAACTACCAACTAATTATTTTCTTATCATACGCGTGTTATTTTAAGAAAACTAAACTATCATTTAATAACACTAAATTTCAACTAATTATACCATGAAAACACTAAATTTTTATAAGTCACGAAATTTTACTCAAATTGTTTTCCAATATAATTAGATAAGTTTGGTTTTTCATTTTATTTACCATTGCACCAATACATTAATCTAAAGCAACGAACATGGATAGAAGAACTTATAGCATTTCATACAGCTGACATTTTCTCTCTTGCTGTTATCATAACTTACTATGTGCAAACATGATATAATCAGAATCCAACATATTTTTTCTGCTACAGATAAAAGGAAATAACTTTCTCCTTTCATTATTTACATACAGACATAGAAAATTTATATGGTTATTACAACATGATCTGATTGGTGGTGTTATTAACAAAAAATACTATTATTTCTTCAACTTCAATCCGATTTGAACGACCTCATAAGCTTTACTACATATGTGAAAGATGATTTTGTTGCTCTACTGCTAGAAGGCGTGTCAAATCCAGTTACGAATACTAGAAGATTTAACGAAGTCTGCATATTTTTTGGATTTGTTTTTCGAGTCATGTACTCAATTTTTTTCTCCTTATATAACAATCTAAACTTTGTCTGCAACTGAAAATAAAACACTACAAGAGACTTCGGTTAATTTTTCACAACGCCAGTCGTCACTAATTCTTTTGTAAAGACAGGCTCAAGCAGATATTGATAGAATCAGAAATGTCAGCGCAGCATGAACAGTGGAGCTCTGCTTTTGTCAAACATCTCCGCATTATGCAGCAAATCAAGCATATCGTTTGATCTAATATAGCTGGACCGCACAGCTACTTTAAAGAGAGTTGAATACTTGATCAGAGAAGAATAAGCTGACTTTTTATAGTTTTCTCATACAGAATTCTCAAGTTCTTCGGAAACAGAAAAGGTGAAAATCGATCCCTGTTTTATTCTTTTGGCAGTTATATAAGCAGACAAATGCTTTTGCTGTTGTTATTTGTTTTTCTGACTCTACCAACACATCGACGTTCGCTTCTTTTTCCTGATCGATACTGTAGTTAGCGCACATTACAGGATAAATTATTTATTATTTATTATTACAGCAGCGTGGTTCAGTCGGCTAGTGGACACACAACGTAGTTCAAAGATACGGAGTTCAAATCCCGGCAACGGCGGCCGCGTCTTGGAAAAACTATCTAATGCCCATTGTCTCGGTATCTTTGGGTGTAGATGCAATGGAGTGGCCTGTTTTCAGTGGCCAGTAGACTGGAGAGATGAGAATTAAAGTTTAAAAAAAATTTATCGAGTCTTTTCATTATATGGTGTTTCTCTATATCCTTACACCACATTCAAATTTTGTATTTGTATATGACAGCATAGTTCATTAAATATAGTTCGGCTGAAGTCGTTTATTAGACATACTCTTAGAATATTCGTTTCTAATTGAATAGAAACTGCAAGAGAATTAACTAATGCAAAGCGAAACTAATTTAACTATCCGAATTGTCCCACTGGATAGAATACCATAGATCGCTTAGAACATGATAAGATACAGTATAAATTGATAAGTGAGACCTCGGATTTCTGCAAACTATCGCATTTTGCTTACATAACATTAATAATAGAAAAGGGATTTTCTTACATTAACCTTAGCTGCAACCATCTTCGGAATTATTACGGCATCATCTGGTACAGTTGCGAAAAAAAGAGAACGAAAAAGCTCATCTTAGTAGAATAATAATGACGACACCTCAAAGACGCTAACGCGACCATTGCAAAGACACAAGAAAGCAACTAAAATGTTTTGCTCTAGAAAAATGTTTAATATTTTATTCTTTGTAATCGATCTGATTAACAAAATAATAAAATATACCGGTGCATGACCAATGACAACACATTTCATTTCTTTCTGCAATAACATATAAGAATACAAATCAAAAGAAAAATGATAAAAAGATATTTAGCGTATGAGACTGAGCCATTTAGCAAAAAGCTCTTTAATTTTCATTGTCTTTTACATGAGTTCTAAAATGAATATTAAACGCAGTTGATGATTTTTGCAATAATTACTATACTTCTAAATTTCATTTTAATATTAGCATTTGTTCAAGATAAAAAAGCTAGTTGTCTTACTTACATGTTGACAATTTGAGATTAATATAGAAGTACGATCGTTGGGATACAAACTTCTTTTCTTGCTAATTTGTTTAAATAAAGAGTAACAACAGTACGAGGACGTTAACAAAACGCCTAGGGTGTTTAATTTAACTGGAAAGCGACTGACATGTAACGTATATCTCAATAATATAATTGATCAACATAGTATTCATATCACAATAGAGAAGAAGGAGAGAAAGAAAATAAGATGATGATGTTTGTGGAATCGAAAGTGACTACAAGCATTAAATGTTATTGCTTCCATCCGAAAGAGATACACTTTTTCTATTTGTCTATTATGTTAGAATGAAGGGTCTTGATCTTACAATGGTAGATGTCAAGGACATCAATGCTTGCTTATACACCGAAAACATGTTCAATGCAAAGTCTACAAACGGCTGACTATTTGTCTCTTCGTAGATCCTCCACGTATTAGCGTTATCAATATGCAACATTCTTCTCCTCAAAGA